CAAAGCAGACCATTATTTATAGTTCAGGCAAGAAAAGGGACCAAGTGTTCTGAACTGACTTTGCAGTTTCTTCTGCCAACACTGTAAATGGCAATGCTGCATAAAATATGATACTAAATATATCAATTGGTATTAAATAAATGATATTAAGATCACTGGTCATAGCACACATGATATTCTTCAGAGTTCCTAAACCTGATGTGTTTCTTTTGATTGACCTAAAAGTCTTTTTTACAGAAGGAAAAAGGTGCTGCTGACAAAGGAGCTTCCTGGTGCTGAGGAGCAGAACATGGCATAGTGTTATTCTTGTGTCACTTTGCTCTGGATTCCTCACTCCAAATACTAGCAGCTTCTACAGCAGCCCAGGTGCCTTCCTTTTCTATTGGGAAACTAACCAAAAAAGCCAAATTATTTTCTGTTTCTCTCTGGCATTTGTTGCACATCACAGCTATTTCCGTCAGCCAGGTATAGGCTCTTGAGAAAGGAAACTAAAGGGGCCAGAAAACGGCATGACTCTAGGAAATGGGGAGGGAAAGTAAAAACGCCTCTCCCTGGCTACTAACTGGCAATGACAAACTACACCAGGGGTGGCTCACAGAGGAATACATTATAGTTGACCAATAAAACCCAGACTCTCTGGGGAGCACAAGAGCAGGAGTGAAACCATCTGACAGAACCATAGGCAACAGCAGATTTGTCAGAGCAGAAAAGCTGAAATCTGCAAGTGTCAGATGGCTCTTTATCCTTTGGCTGGCAGCTGACAGCTCTTTTCGGATGCCCCATGGGGTCCAGGGCCAGAAAAAACAAGAGGAAGCAAAAAAGGAAAGAATAACAAGAAGCCATTTGGCCATGAATGCATGTTAACACTTGTTCTTGAAGCCAGAGTTTCAAATGGAAAAATAAGATCCCTTTCTTTTAAGGTTTGCTCTTTGTGTATTGTCATACAACACTTTGGAATGCTGCAATTTCTCAGATGGACAGAAAGAAGAAGCTCTGTGCTACTTCACAGGGGCAAACACATGCTGTTTAATATACCTTGGCCAGTAAACATCTTCCTGATAACAAATTAAGGGCCAGATTGTCAGTTCTGCCGCACATGCTGTGGATGGATCATTACTGGTCAGGAGCCTCTGGTGCAGTTTAGGGCAACTCATCACAAAATGTTGTGCTTGTGTTGTTGTCCCACTTCAACCCATGTCCTGATCATGCAAAAGGACAAGGGCACTGAAGTAATCTTTTTCCCAACTGTGCTTTGGAAGAAGCCAGGGCTCAGCAAAACTCCGTACCATTATCTTTCATACTCTGATATTCTTTACTCTGAATTTCATCCAGCAGTGATCCATGTATACAAGACTTCTAATCATTATAGTTTCATTTCCAGCTGAGTAATGCTGGCAAAGGACAAAAGATGGCTTAAAAGGTACTGCAACTGTTAATACAGACATGGCTCTTACAGATTGTTCAGCAATCTCTGCCTCTCTTTTAATGAATTTATATATTTGTGTGTGCAGGTACATATTCATATTTTAATCTGCTAAATTCAGAATTGGGCCACTTTGACTATTCCATTGTATTTCAGCTTCTGTACAATGCCTATTCCCACAATATTTGAATATCTTCCAATAATGATTAAGTTCATGACTGCATTCATGTTCTCTGTTCCACTCTGGAGGGTAGAAGAGGATGTAATGCAGGTTTTACTTGTGTATGTTTGCTGGACTTTTAGTAATATGCATGTACGTTGTCCTATCCTTATATTGTTTAGACGATTCACACTCCAAAGGATGCTCTTCACTGATCCACCAGCAATCTTCAGTGAAGTACTCTGGCCAGAAGTTTTACCTCTCAGATATAAAGCAAAATTTTGCTTATGTGGAGAATCTAAAGTATTGCCAGTAAACGCTTATACATGTTCTGAAAGTAAGATCATAGAATCAAAGAATCACAGAATGGGTGAGATTGGAAGTGACCACTGGTGTTGTCATCTGGTCCAACCTCCCTGCTCAGGCCAGGTTTCCTAAAGCACATTGCACGGGATTGCACCCATATGGTTCTGAAGTATCTCGAGGAAGGGAGACTCCACACCCTCTGGGCAATCTCTTCCAGTGCCTAGTCACCCCCACAGTAAAGTTCTCATATTCAGGATTTTCTTGTGCATCAGTTTCTGCCTATTGTCTCTTGTCCTGTTGCTTGGCACCAATGAGAAGAGTCTGGATCAATTTTCTTTACACCCTCCCTTCAGATACTTGTATACATTGACGAAGTCCCCTCTCAGCTGTCTGTTCTTAAGGCTGAGCAGGCCCAGCTTCCTCAGCTTTTTTTTTATAAGTGAGATGCTTCTGTCCTCTCATCATCTTTGTAGCCCTCTGCTGACCCTGCTTCAGGAGCTCTGTGCCCAGGTAAATATTTTATTCCTATAGATAAATATATTATTCCTATTTTCTTCCTTTTCATTCCTTATCGTTTTCTTCTTATTTTGCAACACAGCTGATGTTTTTGGTTCAGTGAAACATGGTATTGTGCAGGGGCTTATCAGAGAAGTTAGATTCTTTATACAAAAGCAGAATAAGCTCTGACTATTGTGGTTTTATGTTCTACCTGAAATTATTCCAAAAGGGAAGAAAGGATATTCTTTGAGTTATTATTGTTTTATAAAGTAACTTTAAGGGTGTTCTGCCCTATCTCCTTGCTCACGTTTTGTATCTCCAGGACTTGCACGTATCCCTGCTGCTGTGCTCTAGGTCTAACTGTGCATCTTGCTTGGTCAGCCTGATATTTTTTGTTACACAAATGCCATGCCTACATGAGCTACGCACTCATAACCTCAGCAGCAACAAGGCATATTCAGCCACACAAAACTGAGTTCTTCATCAGGAGGAACAGCCAGCCCCTGCACAAGGCTTGGGTCAAGGCACTGTGCTGAGACTTTTGCCTGTCATTCTGTAAGCAGGCAATGTGCGGGACACCATGCAAAGATCTGGTGGGAGTCCTCCACCCTACACCTTCATATGCCACTCCTGAAACCCCAGGGAGCTGCACTGCAGTGCTCTGCATATCAACGTGCCTCAGTAAGTGTGCAGGAGCTGAGGGACTTTGTTACATGGAAACGAGTCTTTATCTTCCAGGGTCCCGCTGCATTTGCTGCTTAGCAGATAGTGCTGTTCTTCTGCTAAGCTGGACATTAACAACTCCCAGCACCATCTTCCCTTTCCCTGCTGCTGGGCTGTGAGCCAGAGCCTTTCTCCCAGCCTGGGGCTCCCTGCTGGCCTGGGCCTCTTCAAAAAGTTTTTAGTTGCCGCTTTTGTCCTCCGCTAGTACTACATAGCTTTTCAGAACTCTTTGCATTATTCACTAAGGCAAAAGGAATGCTGGGCAGTTTTTATCACTCTATGTGCCTGATAGCCTGCTCACTTCTGGGGACAAAGTCCTTAGTACCCTTCTTCTGAACTACATGCTCTATCAAAAACTTTTGCCTTAGTGTTCTTTTGCATTCAGAAGTTTGACTATAGTGTGCCTGTCTCTTTACAGCATACTTGCACAATATAAACTATGAACTTAAGCTAACAAACCAGCACCAGGCTCATGCAGTGTGATCTGCTGTGTCATCCACAAAGTTGCAAGCAAGAGTGTTCCAAATTAGGGGAGCTCTGTTCTATTTTGGGATGAATCTTTCTGAACTTGTGAAAAATCTTGTTATGCTGCAGAGGCAGGACTTTGTTGGCTATTTAACAGCCATCAGATCCTCAGCCAAGCTCTCAGATATTAGTCTTTAACTGGCCAGTGCTACAATCTGTGATTAAAAGAAAAGTTTTGCTCAATTCAAATACTTCAAAAAGATGGCAAGATTTCCCTTTTTGTACTTAAAGGAGTTGATTAATATGTTAAATATTTTTAAAAATTAAAGCTTAGGATTTCAACAGAAAAGAGCATCAGTGACTTTCTACCTAATTTATAACCACAGACGTGAAACTGGTCCATCTCCACTAGTTTTCAAGTGTGTTCATATTTTTCAGCCACAATAAGACACTGGTGTTGCACTCCCCAGTCTGAATTAAGGCAGATGCTGCTGGGAGGTGGTTTTTCAGACAAGACCAATGCAGGCAAAACTCCTCTCTTGCACTGCATGCATACACCCTAGTCCTCCTCCTCCTTGTGTGTGGTGCTGTCAAACATCATCCAGGCACACTCCTTTACTGAGTCACAAACTGGTAATCCATTCAGCATAGGGTATCCTCCCTGTTTCATGTTGAGCACAACAAAAGAAAATGAAATAAAAACAACCAAAGCCCCAGAGCCTTTATGCACTGCCTCAGAGCTGCCTCTGAGATCATGCTATCACAGAGAAGTCTCCTGTTCCATGGCATCAGTTCACAGTTATCTACTATGATATGGTAGATTTAGCAAAACAGTAACTTTAAGAATCAATTGGGACTACTTTTCAACTTAACAAACCATCAGATGAAGATATTTCTGCTCTCATAGATGCACAATGACTGCTCAGCAAGCTCCACTCCTGCAGATTAGATGCGACTATACCAAGTGAAGCAGGAAATGTTACAGAAATCCAGCCTCTCCCATCAAACCTCCCTAGTGACCAAACTTTGATGGCTTCACCATAGTACCAGAGGGATGAGTAAAGTGGGTGGAAACACATTTGTCCTGCAGTCACCTCACGGGAAGTAAGACAGTGAAAAGTGAGACAGGTGGAGGTACCTATCATCTTCTCCAGAGTGATTAGTCTTACTGTACTGGGAAAAATCTGCAAAAGTGTCTTATTGGCCTTACATAGCTGCCATGAGCCCATCAGCTGCTTCAGCTGACCTCAAAGTGTGCCACTTGAAAAAAGGATGGATACATGTACTTTAAATTGCAACCCTGCTTAGTTAGCAAACCTTTTTGTACAACTTCAAAGAGTTCTAAGAAGCGGATAAAAAATTTCAAGTATAATACATTTAGTAGCATGCATTCTCACCTAGTAAAGACAGTATCTTTAATCTTCCTTTATTTATTAATCTAGAGCACATTTTATTTATAAAACCTACCATCTGAATAACATTTTATTACCTTTTAATCTAATTAGGAAATATAGCTTCTGAATGTTTTATTGAAGTATTGGTTTTTCAGTAGCTGATATATTTTTTCAAAACAAGTTATTCAAGGCCTAACATCAACATAAAAACAACGAAAGCAAAGGAGGAATGTTGAGTGTATTAGGATGTTAGGTAATATCAGTATTAAAAAGTTTAACGAGCACAAATGATATTGTTGTACGTCAGGTTCTTTTTGCTGTTTCTGTATCATAACCTTATGACAGTCACATGCTGTCAAACTGATAACAAGTATAAATGGTCACACATCCTGATTCGTGTTAATTTTTCACTTCCTTTCAATGACATTCAACAAAAACATCAAGACAGCTGAAGAGCCTGACCCTACTCTTGCAAGCTGCTCGATGCACACAGCTGATAACATAAGACACAGGAGCTCTGGGTGGATGCAAGATCTGTGCTGGTGGATCACTTTACATGAAGGAGGGTCCTTTATAAGGAAAATATGTACTGATTATGTTGACAAATAGAAACTGGTTACTCCTGAGGTTAAACTACCCAGGAACCAACTAGATTATACTACTTGCTCCCAGACAAGAGTATTTCCCCAAAGTAAAATCAGTAAGCCATAGAATAGCTTCCTTTAAGCATTTACAACTTATTAAGTTGCAGATTACTCCCTCAGGCCCTATAAAAAATCTTCTAGCTGCACAGTTTAGAAATCAATTAATAAATATAATGGTGTCAAAAATTTGCATTTGCTCTAATCCTTGTTTAGTCTACCATTTTGTTTCACTAACACGTTACTACAGAATTAAATGGCAGAAATGTGAGTAATTTTGGTTATTATTAAAATATTGTATATAAAGAGGAAAAATCTGAATAAGGCATTCTCAATGCAATGTACATTTTCACGCCCAGTGGAACTAACATTTCAATTTCTTCCCAGAAGTAGTGGAATGGTTTTTTTGCATGTAAATCCCCAAATACTTTTTCAGTTTTACATATAAAAAGCATTATTTCATACATCAGTTTTAAAAGCATTGGTTTGGTATTTCCTTCCATTTTGTCTGCTCAAGGACTATGGATCTGGAAAGAAACAGTCCAAAGAAACTCACAACACAGATAAGACAACTACTTCCATAAAATTAAAGGAAACAACATTTTGTTTCAAGTGCCATCTAGATAGATGTATATGAAGCATACATGTTATGGTAGGTAGTATTCATCCCCATATTTTCACCTGTCGGTATTACTGCAAATTACACTGTTTCCATGACATGCCTTATGGAACAGTTTACTATTTTCATAAGCAGTCACATGCATTGAAGGTAGGATCACCAGCCCGAGCATTTGGCACCCCAAAGCAGAACCAGAGAGGCCAAGCTTACGAATCTCCTTGCTTAATGACAAATTAGCTGGTGTGTGAAATGACAGATCTCCATTGACATGAGGAAGCACATTGACCTAAGACATTTCCTCTGGAGCTGTTTCTGCTTCCTGAGTGGGTTTCTTTTCAGGTTTGCCACCGAGGACGGGAGATGGGTTGTGGCTGGGCTTGTTGCTGTCATGTGCACTGTGACTGCTGGCGCTGCCAAGGCGCGTTGATGCCACAACAGCTTTTACTGCAGCCTGGGAGAGAGAGGACCAAGCATACATTCCTTAAAAGGCATGAAATGTCAGCAATGCAGCCTCAGCATAGTCCCCTTAGGGAATGTAACCACCTTCAGTCTTCCTGGTAACATCACATACTTGCCTGGGCTTGGAAAGACTCAGAAGATCATCTGAAATTCTAGACTGAGGTTTAAAATTGCTGCTGTCACAAGGTTAGAAGTTGGACAACATGAACGACTTCTTTTTTCAGCTACGAGTGCTGCATATTTTTTTTTTAGAAATTACTTCAGGTTTTCATGCTGAAGTTAGATGGCAAAGAGAAAGCCATCTTCTGCCATAATAATAACAGTACCACTACCGATTATTCCATGAAAATTTCACAAAGGAAAACAATATTTATTATTATTGAACTATTGTGTATGCCAAGCACAATGGTGCAGAGCATACAGGCAACTTCCTAAGGATATACATATAAAACCACTCTTTTTGGGTAGGCTTTCATGTCACACAAAATAGCACAAAATGAAGACACTTATGAAGACAGTTATATTAGCCCTTGCCTCAAAGAGTTTTATTGCCTGAAAAAACAAACATATAGAGGTGAGGAAAAGAAATACTAATCTCTGTGTATGACAGCTCAAGTTACTTTTGACTTGGCTAGCTTTTTGCTTAGGCATCACAGAAGTGGGTCGGTGGGAGAAGATGAGGAGTATAGCAAGTTTGTGGATACCTTGGAGAGGTAATCATGCTGACACAAACAAACAAACAAACAAACAGAAGCAAGGAAATAAAAAGAAAAAAAGAAGGTGCTAATGAAAAACAGACTACATAGTCATTGTCAATAAAAAAGAATCAGCTAATACAGAATATTAAGAAAAAGTACCAATAAAAAGTGGCAAGAGTTTTCAAAGTGAGAGTCCAGACCTCTTAAAGCAAAATTCACAGACATCCACTTAGTGGTGAGAGGACTTTGGACAACTGATTACAAGAATAGGCCACTCAATGATATTATAATGTCCAAAGATACTTTTAGTGTATCTCTCACAAGCCATATGGATGGTTATGAATTAATTCAATACAGCTTGTGAAAAACAAAATCATGACTGAGGCCTTTAGAGTTATTTAATAAAAATATGTCTTTACATAAAAAAAGCCTGTCTCTGGATTTGTAGGTTGGGAAAGAGAGGATAATTTCATATTATTCTAACTAACAAAACAACAACTAAAGCATGTTCTACTTGTGTTTCTGCTTTGGTCTTATTTTTTTTGGCTAGCAATCAATTGTCTAAACTTTTATTGTTTATTTTACATGTATATATGTATAAAACTTTTAACTCTACGATAAATGCTAACTTCAATCAATTCTCTTAATAATTGAAGATTTGATCGTTTAATCTTTAACAGAAAAGCAATGAAGAAGCAAACTTATAAAAAGCATTAGCTTTTAGTCACAAAAGGATAAATTGGTTGACTACAGGGATCTAAATAAACTGGGTTTCAAAAAAATCTTTTTCGTGATCAAAGGTGTAAAACTATAAAGAAACACAAAATCAAAACATCAATGTGAATTATATCTACAGTCTCTGAGAATTTTGTAAATGACAAAATGTTTTTCTTTGCCCTGTAGAGATTCTCTGTCACAGTTCCCTGCTAATACTGAAAAAAATTAGCAAAAGGAAAGTTAAGGGTCATTTATTTTGTGAATTTAATTTGCATGGAGTTTGTAAAGCTCTCAGTTAAGATGCTTTTAACCCTTATTCCCCAGGGCTACAAGGGCAGCTTCACTGTAACTGTTGGTAATAATTTCTGTGCTGAAGTATCCCTGGAAATATCTTTTGAGCAGACACAAATCACTAACAACTGAAAAAGCGATTTGGGGAGAAGAAAGTTTCCTGATGTTATGTCAGTTAGATGCCTGCTGGTAGAGTAACTCAGGGTGGCCTAAAGACCAAAATATGCTACAGTAGATTAAATTTCTTACAGATTTATGGATGCTCATTAAGAAATTACTCAGAATTTTGTTCCTTCTTGTCAGTACTATAAGGATGCCAAGCAGTACAAGACAGACAGATGGACAGAAGGAAGAAAGGAAGAAGGGAAGGAAGGAAGGAAGGAAGGAAAGAAAGAAAATTGTGAAAGTAGTGTGCATTCTCAGCAGTTCTAACTGTGTAGGCAGAGTTATCGATCAGCTTCACCAATTTTTATTTATTTGGTTTCAGTTATTGACTAAATCAGCTTCCACTTCTTCAATTTTCATCAGTTACCTTAAATAAAAATCTTCCATACCACTATGGAATGTTGTCCTCAAAAGATATGCAAGGTTTCTGCGAGGCTACTAATTTAGTTGCATGCTTTCATAGCCGAAACAGAGACTGTGTGCAGAGACTTGCCTTAAGTTTACGCCGGGCATTGAATTCTTGAAGTTTCTTTTGTGCGTTGTCCATATGAGCAAAATTTGCTGCCTTCCCTGTGACCCATGGGTGCTGCAAAGCCTGTAGAGTGGTGAGGCGTTTCTTGGGGTCTAAAACAATCAACTTTTTAACCTGCATCACAAGCAAGAAACACAAAAGACTATTAACCTTATTCTTCATTTACATTTACCTAGCTTTGCATTTTGGGGCTCTGGTCCTGGTTTTGGGAAGCATCCTAGGTGAAAGGCATTCTAGGAAACCAACAAGAATTTGCATTTGTGTCTTTGCAAGTATTTTGCTTCTGGCATTTCTTGGTCCTCCATAAGCAACATCTGAGTAAGACAGCCATTAAGGGGGAAGAGAGAAGAAAAAAAATCAACCAGTTACCAACGTTTTAAGAATATGCAGCTGACCTGTATCTGCCATAGGGTGTTGCATGTCTGAATTGCCACATAAACCCTAAGAAATTCTCAAAATAACCCCAACCAGGCAGTTTCTCTGAGCAGTGTCTTTACTTTTGGATTTGGACAAGTTTTAAATGGGATTAGAAAGTTTAAATTATAGTGTGTGCAGCTCATGCAGACTTGTACCATGCAGTCACTGTCAGGTACATCATAAAGGAAATGTTTCTTTCAGTCTCTGTAAAACCTCTTGTACACATGAACTAAAAACCACTGTACAAGTATTTCTCTCTTAGCCCACCCTGAAACTAATGCTGTTCACACCAGTCTTTCTGTCACCAAGGCCAGTGAAGCTGCACCTCTCCAAACATGAGAATAGGACATTTTTGGGAACAAGGTACTGCAAACACACCCCTGGGAGTGGAGGTGGTACAAAGTGCTGGATACAAAATGTGTCAAGCCATCTTTCATGGGGTTTGCTGTTATGTCTGGACTAGTAGAGTTTTGAAAAAAAAGAGAAAGGTGGGGATGGAGTAACAAAGTACACAGATGATACTTTGCAGAGCCACACTTATCCAGCTCTCCTGACTGCACACCCTCCTGGAGCAGAGTGCAAGTGATGGCACAGGGCTCCACTGCTGCTTTGTACCCAAGTGTGAGGGAAGACTCACTTTAGGGGTTCTCTGAAATTTCCCTACAAAGAACTATTAAAGAAAGATGGTGCCAGGCATTGTGATGAATCCAGCCTGTTGTGCCTCCATGGAAGAAGTCAAGGTAAACAAATCCCTTCAGCTGGACCTCCAGAACTGCCCACAGCAGAAGGTTTTAAGAGTCATGGCCTTCATCCTTATCTACAACTTCCTGTACAGTGTTCAAACCTGAAACGTTGAGCTTTATTGTACCAGAACAGTATGGAGCAATTTGGACAATATGGAACAGTATGGACAAAAGCTCTGTATACACAATAAATAAGCAGTTTTGCTTTCAGGTTGCTGTTTATCTGGCAGTAAATGATATTTTTTTGACTTTAGAATAACTTTGCATCTAATCAAACAACAAAAAAGTACTGTGAACTTCTACAGTCCTTCCATTTGAAATGTCCTGAAGTACTTCACAAACACCAATTACATAGTATTTTATGACACAGTTTGTATACGTACTATGGAACAGACCACTTGAGTTTTCAGTGTTAATGAAATAACTGAATTATGCAAGTTATTATTGACTAAAAATCAGACTCAAGCATACCTATCTCTGCAGATCAGCATCTCCTGAATCCAAATTACTTTATCCAGTAATGAAAGAATACAGTGCAGATAGCATGCCAGCTCTTGCATTTTGCTAATGGACCATATTTAAACGTAATTGGTCTTCCCTCATCTACTGAGAAAAAAGCTTAAATGGACAGAAAAAGTCTGTCAGAAAAGGCAGGGGGAAAAAGTTTCATTTCCTTTAATATTCTTTCCCTAAAGTTCAGGCTTGAAAACTGAAAAAAAATAAAGGGCTTGTTTTTACTTTCCCCTGAAGGTGGTTGCCTAGAAAAGAGGAATGAGCTTCAGAGCTGGAAAAGAAAGGCAGGCATATATGAACACTGTGACAGCTGCCAACAATCTGTGGCTTGTTCAGAGAAGGACCTGAACATCCATGGTTTTGAGGGCAAAATTACAGCACTGGACTGACAGGGATATTTAACAGCACCCTAATATATTAAAGACAAGAAGAAAAGCAAGGGGCTGTACGAACAATTGATTAACAAATTATTCTTCCCCCACCCCAAAAATTGACTCAGTGGAAGTGATACTAGATACTCTAGTCTGATGTTTGCTTTACTTACTAAATCCTTGGCATTCAGAGACACATCATCCCACCAGGGGGACACAAAGTCATATTCACAGTTCAGGATTCTCTTAAACATGTACTGATCTCCCCTGTCATCATAAAATGGTTCAAAGCCACAAAGTCTGCAAGGATAAAAAAGAAATAAATTTATCAAAGATTAATTAGCCTTTGGATTGTTAGGAACAGTTCATGGTATTATTTTTCCCTACTTTGTATTCTGTAGACCCCTTTGGAAAACCAGACCTGGCTGTACTCATGAACTTCTAATTCTACAGAGCGAGAAAAATGTGGTCAAAAGTATTCATAAGCACTGGGAAAGGCTGGTCAAATTGTAAATTTTCCATTTTCACGTCTTTAATTGGAACTATTAGTACAGGGACTTACCATAAGAGTAGTCATGCACCAGTTGGTATCTGTATACCTTCTACATGCTAATATTTTCTAGCAGCTCTTTGCTCTGCTGGTCTCAGGTTGAAGTCACTTGAACTACCAGTTATTCCTCAGTCTGAAACCTTTGCTCATCACTGCTGTCTCTGTGAGGCTTCTCCCACCATGTGCCTTTTTGAAGTGAGTGCAAATGGGCACGACTAAGTTACAAATTAGTGTAATGATGTTTTCTATTTTAATCTTAGTTTCTTTGCTAGAACTTTATGACCTTACTTTTTTAGATTGTTTACAAGCACAGAGTTAACATGATCACAGAGCGTTTATCAGAATCCTTGTAACTCTTGCCACAGGAATAGGAATTAGCTGAGGAACCTCATTTTACCTGTGAAGTTAGAAGGTTTTATATATCCAGTTAGGACTGATCTTTGATTATGTTCATCCCTGTACATTCTTTCATCCTATGATCCACAAAATGTGAAAACCTCTTTCAGGTTTTATTAATCACTCCACATCTTTACTTAGGTAACCTACATATATGTTAAGATATGTTGTGATCTCACTAATGACTGCATTTATGAATATATTGAATAATACAGATCCCAGCACAGATCCACACTGCTGGCTTCAGGGAAAGCAAACTCATAGAAGTGGTTTCCACTCATATAATGTCCTTTTTTTTTGCTTCCTTTTGCTTTAATCATGCTTGCACACATAATCAGATATTTTTAAGTGAATTTCCTATTCAACCAGAATGTGATCTGAGCTAAACAGAAAGTCTGTCTGCTACTCTACCTCCAGAAAATGCAACAAGCAATGAGATGATGACAGGAAAACAACAGCAGATATAATGATCAAGATAGCAACAAGTCTACAAAATGTAACTTTATATTTTAACTTGGTTTTGTATTTCTAAACCCAATCAATGTGCTTACTGTCCTGAAACAGGAGACTGATGCTCAAGGAAGAAATGTGGTTTTGAGAGTGATGCATAGCTGTGAATGAACAGTGGCATCACATTCCACTTCTGAAGAGGAGAAACACTCCATTGTAAGCACCTTCCGGGCACAATATTAATTTCCAGGTCTGGCAGAGATGGATTAAAAGACCAGGATCCAGCCTCCAAACACCACGTGCTTCAGTAGGTGGGAGCTGGCCACAGCACCCCAGCTGTTGCCCTCCTTTTTGCTTCCTGTCCCACCACCATTTCTGGACTTGCATCAGGTCTCTACCATCTCCATGGAACACCTTTGCTGAGAAGGGTTGTTGGGCCCCTCACTGGGTCAACCCAAACTGGATTTTGGATACTGGGTGACACACAGTATGACTATGTTTAAGACTTCATCTGACTGCACTGAAAATCCCCTAAGTTTTCTCTACTTTCTTTGTAACTCACTATTATCACCTTTTGTCTTTTTAACAATTTCTATACATATGCTTCTACTTAAAATAAAAATCCATTTCAGCAGACAGATTTTTTTTTGCTACATGCCAAATGAGATGAATAAAACTAGAGGTGTGATTTCAAATTAGATTAATTAAAGCAGAGTAAGATTCAATGTGGTTGCTCTTGATTTAATTTTATTTTGAAATATCATTTTATTGTGATGACTCATTCTATATCAATTACATACAAATAGAGAAAAAACCAATGCAAACAGCTACAAAAACAATTAAAAAATGACCAGATGGTGTTTTATCTCCTTTTAAGTTAGTGAAAAACCGTCTTTAACTAAATCCATGCAATTTCAACTACAGGCAAAGCCTCTGTATTTGTTGACCTCTATCTGCATCTCAGACATGCTGAAGGATTTCTAACCTGCTCTAGGAATACACAAGGACTGTTCTTTTTGCCTTTTAAAACTGTAACATGTGGCTTCCCTGGAATTATGACAGTTGTCATCAATAGATCTTAATATAATTTGCCTCAGGAAAAACTGTTCAGTCAAAATATGTGTCAAAGTTTTTCTTAATCAAATGCTAAGTCTACTTTGATTAACGAGAAGATTAATGAGAAGTTTTATGCAGATCTTCTGTAACACAGTTGTTACTCTTACATCCATTCCAGTTTGGAGGTACATACAGCAAGACAATTTTTGGACTGTACTGAAGTGCATTCCTTCAACTAAACAATGAGACCAAGACATGCAACACTGTCCTTTAGGTTGCAGGATTAATGAGTTAGCTATTGTACATGTACCACTGAACCATATTGATCCACAGAGCTTTACATGCAATAGAAGAGCTTCAAATGTGGAATACTGTTAAAGCTAAAAGGAAAATATAGCAAAGTGGATTTTTGCCTGGCTTATTCCTGCAGATCAAATTAGATTTCGAGTTGGGAGTAGGAAGGATCATAAGGAGAAAGAATCATAGAATCACAGAATCATAGAATCAGTTGGGTTAGAAGAGACCTCCGAGATCATCAAGTCCAACCCTTGATCCACTACCACCGTGGTTACTAGACCATGGCACTGACGCCACATCCAGTCTCATCTTAAACATCTCCAGGGATGGAGAATCCGTCACTTCCCTGGGCAGCCCATTCCAATGCCTGATCACCCTTTCTGTAAATAATTTCTTCCTAATATCTAACCTAAACCTCCCCTGGCACAGCTTAAGACCATGCCCTCTTGTCTTACTAATAGCTGCCTGGGAGAAGAGACCAACCCCCACCTGGCTACAACCTCCTTTCAGGTAGTTGTAGAGAGTGATGAGGTCTCCCCTGAGACTCCTCTTCTCCAGGCTCAACAACCCCAGCTCCCTCAGCCTCTCCTCATAGGACTTGTGCTCGAGTCCCTTCACCAGCCTCGTTGCTCTTTGGACCTGCTCCAGCACCTCAATATCCTTCCTGAACTGAGGGGCCCAGAGCTGGACACAGCATTTGAGGTGTTGCCTCACCAGCACTGAGTACAGGGGAAGAATCACTTCCCTGGTCCTGTTGGCCACAGTGTTCCTGATACAGGCCAGGATGCCACTGGACTTTTTGGCCACCTGGGCACACTGCTGGCCCATGTTCAGAAGTGGAAGAATATCCATTCTGGGGGTGTTCCACTCAGAGCAGCAACTCACACACTTGTTTTTACACCAGTGCAGAGGTTTAATGTGTTTTGGGAGCATCTTCTGAACAGCTGGAAGGTTTTGAAAGGCTGCATATAGCAAATGCCACTCCATATATTCAAATAGGAATTTGATTTCTGTTCTTGCTTGGAGCTTGCCTACACTTGAAACCAAGTTCTGCTTAAGAAAGGAGCTCAGTTTCAAGTACAACAACTTCCTTAAGCCTTGATTAACTAGAAAAGACCATAGCTTAATCTAAATGGCTTTATAAAGGGCCAACAAAAGTCATCTCTCCAATCTTAGAGAAAGCCTTGCTGACAACATTCACATCTCTCTGCCATGCGTAGAAACCCCAGAACTGACAAGAAGTGAGCACCTGGCAGGCAATTTCTGAGATGTGATCTTTTACATAAGGTCTGGATCTTAAACCAGACCTTGAGACAAAGGGTCACATTTAAATTGGAGAAAATAAAAAAATGGGAAATGGAAGTACTGTAGCCTATTATTTACCAACACACCAAAGGAGAGCTCTGAATTATATAAAGCTTATATACACAACAAAAGATGTTTTCTGATATTTCCATCAGAGTGTTTACATATCCTTACATGAACTTTTAGTATAAATCCTAGAGAATGCAATTATTTCTTTGCAAAAGACAAAAAGAAAATAATTCTATTATTACACACTGTACTTGCTGGACACAGTTAAAGAGTCCTAGTAAGGGAAACATAATGACCCAGATGTATAAAATCCTCCATATCTTTAATGTACATATGCAAAATTCTCATTTTCTTCTCCTAAAAGGCATCCTGCAAGTATTGTATATAACTACACAAGCCATCTTAGCATTGTCATTGTCAAGGGACTAAATTAAGTTATTTATTCTCCCATAAAGGGAAGCATGAATATATCATATAAAATTTTCCCTTCTCAATAATCTTCCTCTGAAAGATTCAATGACACAATAAAGTAATTACAATGTTTACCAATTGTATCATGACTAGCCATACTAAGATGTGGACACAGATGTCTACCTTTAGACATAACTGTTTGAAAATTTTGGTCTATAGCTGCAACTTCAACTGTTTAAAATATGTGTGGCCAGCATTGCTCATAGCCCTTTTTCAACAGGGTCTTTTGTTATCTTGTAAGAAAAAGAACACTTTGACATTAACACATCAGACTGATTTGCAGACAGAGAGTCCAGGGCTGTTCCCTGCCTCCTGGTTGAGATGCTATGAGACAGCAACACTGATGCTGCAGCTGAAGCTTTGGTAGTGTCTGTGGCTGACACAGGTGGGGCAGCTGCATTTGAGAATATTCACAGGCACTGTGAAACTACTGCAAGCACCTTAACTTCTTATTATCTCATCTGTAGTCAAGAACCAACTTAGGATCTCTCACAGTTTATGTGAATGAGAAGAAGCCCCCAACGATTTCTGGCACTTGCATGCTTGTATTTTTGCTTTCAGCAGCTTCACTGCTACTCATTTACTTTAACAGCATGATTCTGTGCAAGTCTTCCTGTCGTTCAGCAAGGAGTATTACATCAAATATATAACCTGAGTCTTTTCCAACAAATTAACCGCTCTGTAGCGCCTTCTGCACTTACAGAATGTAGGTGATAATTCCCAGGGACCACATGTCCACCTCAGGGCCGTAGGCACATCCGCTCAGTATCTCTGGTGCTGCAGATGACAAAACACTTGTCAGTAAGATGAAAGCTGAATGAAGAAGTAACAGTCACAAAGTCAATTAAAGTCCATGAACATTCATGTCTCTTAAAAAGGTAGGACCTGTTTCTTTAAGCCCTCAATTAAGCAAATGATTCTCTTCACTGAACATAAAACCAAAGAAGTTATGCCCAAGCAGAGCCAGAATAAAATGTAAAGTGGACTTTGGTTTCAAATTGCTTTTTAGGTTTGTGAAAAGAACCACTGAAAGCTACATTGTTTTACTTAGTGCTTTTATAAATACATCAACAACAAAAAGAGAGTCAATGAAAATCTCTCCCTTATGGGATGAAGAGGGAAACACTCTAACCAAGGATGAGGGAAAGACTAAGGTACTTAGTACCCTCTGCATCAGTCTTAACAGAAACACCTGTTGTCCTCAGGGCAACCAGCCCCCTGAGCTGGCAGAAAGGAATGGGGAGCAGAACAGACCAAGGAGGAGGTAGTTAGGGACCTGTTTTGCCACTTAGATACTCAGAAGTCTATGGGATCAGATGGGATTCACCCAAGGGTACTAATGTAGCTGGCAGAGGAACTCGCCAAGCCACTCTCCATCATTTATCATCAGCTCTGGATAACTGGGGAGGTTCCCAGATGACTGGAGGCTAGCCAGTGTGATTTCCACCTACTAGAAGGTCTGGAAGGAGGATTCAGGGAACTACAGGCCTGTCAGCATGATTTTGATGCTGGGAAAGGTCATGGAGCAGATTGTCTTGAGAGCGATCACACCAGGGGACCAGTACAGAACAACCCCGTGATCAGGCCTAGCCAGCATGGGTTTAGGAAAGGCAGGTCCTGCTTGACCAACCTCATATTCTCTTATAACCAGGTGATCTGCCAGGTGGATGAGGGAAAAGATGTGTCTCTTGTGTTTCTGAACTTCAGTAAAGCCTTCGAGACTGACTCCGACAGCAATCTTCTGGAGAAACTGGCTGCTCATGGCTTGGACAGGTGCACCGCTTGATGGGTAAAAAATCAGCTGTGGTGTATGGAGTTACATCCAGCTGGTGGTTGGCCACTAGTGGGACTCCCCAAGGCTCAGTGTTGGGGCCAGCCCTGTTTTATATCTTTATCATGATCTGGACAAGGGGGTTGAGCGCACTGCCACTCAGTTTGCGGAAAGCACCAAGTTGGGTGGGGATTAGGAAAGTTCTACAGAGGGATCTGGACAGGCTGGATTCGGGTCACAAGGCCAGTTGTACGAAGTTCAACAAGACCAAATGCCGGGTCCTGCCCTTGGGTCCCAAAAAACCCCCAGCAGCACTACAGGCTGAGGGAAGAGTGGCTGGAAAGCTGCCTGGTGAAAAAGGACCTGGGTGTGCTGCTCAACAGCAGCTGAGCATGAGCCAGCAGTGCCCTGGTGGGCAAGAAGGCCAAGGGCATCCTGGCTTGGATCAGCAACAATGTGGCCAGCAGGACGAGGGAAGTGACCGTCCCCCTGTACTCGGCACTGGTGAGGCCACATCTCGAATCCTGTTCTGGTCCCCTCACTACAAGAAAGCCATTGAGGTGCTGGAGCACGTCCAGAGAAGGGCAATGGAGCTGGTGAAGGGTCTGGAGCACAAGTCTGATGAGGAGTGGCTGAGGGAGGTGGGGGTATTCAGTCTGGAGAAGAGGAAATTCGGGGGACACTTTATCACTCTCTCAACTACCTGAGAGGAGGTTGTAACAGGCTGGAGGTTGGTCTCTTCTCCCAGGGAACAAGAGATAGGATGAGAGGAAATGGCCTCAAAGCTGTGCCAGGGGAGGTTCAGGTTAATGATCAAGAAGAATTTTCTCACTGAAAGGGTGGTTAAGCATTGGAGTGGGCTGACCAAGGAGATGGTGGAGTTGCCATCCCTGGAAGGGGCACTTAGTGCTATGGTTTAGTGGACATGGTGGTATTCAGTCAAAGGCTGGGCTTGATGATCTTGGAGGTGTTTTCCAACCTTAATGATTCTATGATTCCATTTATTTAGCATTTTATTTAGGCTTTTGTTGATATTCTGTTTTAATTGGAAGGAAAGACAGACCGTGTCAGGCAATTTCTTTTGCCACATTGAGGAGCAGACAGAAAAGCCAGGCAGTTTTGGGAGACTCCAGCTCTGCAATGGTAAAGAGGAGTGAATGTCTGCCCAAGCAGCCTGGCAGAAACACCTTGACGACCTTGGTCTCGCCGGATCTATGATGCACGTGGGATGGCTGTCATATTTCTGGAGCACAGTGGACTTGTACCTACATGCACCAACACTGCAGCACGTATGCAATCTCTTCCCCTTCCTGCATTACTCTTGCATGGCCATGAAGAGCAGGGCTTATAATATTTTTTAGTATTTCCAGAATTTTGCTTTTGGTAAATGGATTTGTCTGACACATTTCTGTGAGTTTAGATGTTTCCTGTAACAGACTGATCATAAATCACTGCTCTGCACTGGCTTAATTTTATGTGCTACTGTCAAAAATCACTTACGCTTCTCTTATTAAGTTCACTGAAAGCACAGTGTTGCAGTAAACTAGGTTCTTCATGACCATCTTTTTGCTTTCAGTCCTCTGTATCAATCTGCACATCCCAGGGACTGTAGACTGGCAAGTCTTGATGCCAGAGTATCCAGACTCCAGTATGTGTTTTTGTTTCTGTGTCCTTTCTGGAAAAGCTGCTGATAGCTGGGTGGGTAGGATGTGGAAGTTAGCAGCCTGAGACTGTCAATTATTCGTAGTTTAATTCGGCATTTCAACAGTATTCCTCCTGGGTTTCCTCTAATTCTGGAAAGTAATGCTTGAATATGTTCTGGGCAAGAGGAATTCTGTATTGGCAGTTAGCTTGGGTTGTAAACCAAGGATCACAGGTCCATGACCAGAGACACAAAGCTCCTTTCTTCTCTTCTCCACAGAGATATTCACCCTCAACCGTCCCCACCAAGATGTCCTGACTCTGAGGGCTCTTCTGTGGGAATAAGCTTCATATACTATTTTTATCATATACAAAGACAGGCATAAAAAGAGCTAAATACTAACTACAGGTGTATAGCATTTGTAGTATAACTGTCTCAAGAGAAGACAACCAGAACATTAAACACTAATATGTAAAGTATAGTTTTATGAAACTAAGTGGACTGCTCTAAAGCATGACTGGCACCCGTGTGTGCTTGGCAGAGAATGTCATACAAGATAAATGGATATATCACCTGAATTGCATTATCAACTCTGCTACAAGATAACAGAATGATCTTATGGTCTTCTCCAGTGTCCTCTTTCCTTTGCCTCTACCATTACAAAAGCAAATGCAAATAATGAAACAACATACCACAGTACCCTGGAGTTCCACAAACTGTCTTCATGGTCACCTGATCTTCCACAATCTTAGAAAGTCCAAAGTCAGCTGTTAAGATAATTAGGAATATTAATGTTCTTACTTCCTTGTAAAATAACATGGGTGGTTTTTTTCCATTGTGTAAGCAATTAAATGAATATTTATGCATGAAGTGAACAGTACTGTCATTTACAGATATAAGCATTGATTTAAAGAATCTACCCAGACTGCAATCCAGAAGCAAAATTTGCTGTACAATGAGCATTCCTGTCTTTTCCATGACAGAAACGTAGCTTGTATTTTATTCTGGAGACTATAAAAAGCCAGTACAGTGGGACGCCTAAGGGCATACAAGCAGAGATCCAGAAATTCATTTTAGGTATACAGTCAGTTTCCACTCCGTGAGTAATCCAATAAAATTATCAGAATAATTCTGAGTTAAAAAATTTTGCATCAGTGATTTCTTGGATAAGGTTCAAAGTATGCAGACCCTGCAAGACAAAATCCCAGCAGTATTTTGATAGAAGCCTAGGGGCATGAAGATGGTGACAGAAGAAGTATTGATCATCCTTTCTGCAGAGTTTCCACCCTGTATTACTACTCAAACAGCAAGGGCCATCATGGCATCACATGTTGCACCTGCATGACTCATTTTTTAAAGCTCATAAAAACTGAAGTCTTCACAACTCTTAATTTTCACCGAAAATAAACTGATTTATTCAAATTTCAGTATGGATGATGACATCTTTGCCTTAAAACCCCCAAAATAAAATTATATCTACTTTGTTATACTGAATATGAAAGGAAATGTTTTGACTCAAATATCAGCGTAAAAATAGGTCACTTGTCCCTAAACAGCTATTGTTTATGTATTATTATTTATCTAATCAGAAATAGTGTTTACTTTTATAAATACTACTTTATTCTCTGCCATTTTCTGCATGATTTTCACTAAAATTCTGTAAGCACCTAGTTTTTTATTGGTTTAAAAACCACGATGCACAGTTGTGCTGCCAAAGAAGTAATGTGCTGTTCACTTGAGTACAAGCATTAGCTTCAAATAAAGGGGTTGTGAGATGCATGTATTCCAAACATCAGTTAGCACATATTACTGACACAAAAGAATTAGGGAAGCATATATTTAATGCTGCTTACCGATTTTTAGTGGTGCATCTGGAGCTGGAGTTGCATAGAGTAGATTTTCTGGCTTCAAGTCCCGATGCACAATCCCATTTGCATGCAGGTACTGAAAAAAAGAGAAAGCCCAAACATTTAAGTGAGAATAAGATGCTATGGTCAAACACGAGTTGACATCTTTGTAATAATCTTTAGCAGCAATTTAATATTTGATATATGTGTGACACAGGGTTACTTAACTAATTTTCAGAAGCTTTTTTCTGCAAATTTGCTCAGCATAGAATTCTTGGATGCATACTGTAATCTGAATAGGAAACTAAAACTTGGGAAGGCAAAGATAGCATCATGTCCATTTGGGAACAAAAACATCTCAGAAAGTATTATTGAATTTTAAAAGCAAGCATAGCTTCTAGGAAGTAATCTAATAAACGTTAAGATACCAAAGTCAGGCTCAGAGGAAAGTAGTTTCTTCACATTATAATGTTCTGGGAGATAAAAAAATGGTCATGTAACTATTAATCTATTAAATAGACACATTTGAGTAGAAAGGATGCAGTATACATCCTGGGCCAACCACAAAATACTAGGGGTCCCTTGGCACAGACTTCTCGAGAGTTTTAAAGTCACTCAACTGCAGAGTCTCAAAAATCCATCTGTCTTGACAAAGCACATGCAGTACACATGAATTCACTCACCACTGAATTCCTTCCTTGCGCTAATGGAAGGGAAAATTTCTAGAACATATGGCTGCCACTTATACGGCTATGGACAGAAATATATGTATTTACTGACAGAGAAAAAAAGGATAAACTAGTGTAACAAATTCTGTATTTCTTGTTGATAAAACATTCACACAAACCTTTGAAGTCTTAGAAGAGAGATGTTTAAGGGTAGGGTAACATTATCTTATTTGAAAGTCTCATGGGCTACATTTTAGTAGCATTTCTATACTATAAAAGGAAAAACAATCCATGTGCATAGTTATGCAGCAAATGACAAATGGTTGAATATTCACATAGACAACACAGCTATAGTGTGCACTTGAGTTAGCACCTCAGATGAACTCTTCACTGTGTATCTCATTGGAATTTTAGTTTGTATAAATTTTTAGTGATTAAATAACAGTAAAGAAGAATACATTGCTCTGTCCTTGGGCATTGTTTTAGTGACAGTGTGGGCTTTTTACGTGTGTTTCTCATAATGTAATAAATGTTTTTTGTTGACTTTCTTTAAAATCCTGAAATCACAGTATTTGCCATGGTGTGACTTTTGGAGATCAGCCAAAGACCCTCATCTACCTTACTTCACAGTGCTTGTTCCAGTTGTGTTTTATACAATGACATAGCCAATCAGTTATCCAAGGTAAAACCAGGCAACAATATATGGAAACTGATAGATTGCACACTGCTACATCATTTAATGACTGCACACAACCATGTCCTCTATGGATAAAAATATATCTTCATTTGCCAGTGAAGGCATAACTTTAAAAAGATGCTTCGACTGCAGCAGTGATGTGTTTGACATGTAGAGGTAATAGTGGCACAAAGGGAGTGCAGCAAAAGCCATCAGTACAGAGTGGACAGAAAAAATGAAGTCTGAACTGATCTGTGTTCATGCACTGCAAGTCAGTTTAGCTGCCTCTGTAGGAGTGAGAAGGATCAGACATTCCACAATCAGGTGGTGGAAAGCAGACACTTCCCATTCATTCCTACAAAAAAATCTTTGACCAAATATGTGCAGAGAATTTTTCCAGCCAAGTCTGAAATCTTTTAGCAGGTCCTTTTTCACAGATGCCCATAATCTTAAAAACATTTTATGGTGTGAGGCTGAAAACATCAAAATTTTCCTGTCTTCCCAGAAAATAATTTTTGTGGGAGGTAAATTTGGGAAAAACTTTGTGAGAATCTGTTCAACTTTTCTTCCCTTTTAAGTCGTAAAGTGAGACTGGCTCACAGGGCTTCTTCTCAGACATAGCAAGAACCATAACTGACAACATCTGCTAACCACACTTGAATTTCATGACTGACTTTTTAACTGATTTGTATTGAACTTGGAGTGTGAACTGTTTTTTTATTACAGACCCATAATACTCTAGGTAGGAAAATTTCCCTTCTCTGTCCAGCCCAGCATTTGCAGAGAACTCACAGGATGGGGGTGCCAACAAATGAGAATTGCCTCAATAACCTAGCCCATGCCTTTCAGACACTGTCACTGCAATAATCTGAGCTCTCTCTCTCTCTCTTATTTACCCTCTTCACAACGCCTGCAGCTACTGCACACCTCTTCACTGCACTTCCCCTTATCTTTCCAGCATCCTAGTCCAGAATTCCTGCCCAGCCACACTAATTTCTCTAATATGCACTCCAGTTGTGGCCTGACAAACTTTATATGTAATGTATTCATAAACCTATTTGCCATTTCTTTGTAACATAATACCACTCCTGTTTGCTTTTTGATCTAGTGTAACCTTCAAGTCCTTTCTCTTGTGTTCCCACTGTCTCTGCAGTCCACACAAATTCTGGCGCAGTTGTCACACACCCTAAAATCAGTCTCTGTTGCTCTGTCCTCTCTCTCTCACCTGCACTGTTTCTCCTTCTTGACTTCATATTTGGGCATAAATGATACCTGTCGTGCTTGGACCAGGCATGCGTGTGGCTGGGGCTGCCTCAAGCTGCTAGGTCATATGTTTAACAAACCTACTGTTGGCATCTTGTATCTTCCATACCATGTCAAATTTTGTTGTGATGGCTATTTGGATGAATAGTTCTGTTGTGAATTAACAGACTAAAGGGCAAAATGAAAACAAAACAAAACCCAACCCAAAAATAACCCAGCGTTTTTATTGATGCAGATATCCCATTCTTCAACCACAAAAAGTACCAGCTAGAACTGTGGATCTCCATCCCTCTGAGGGGAGACACAGCTGGCTGGACTTCTGGAAAAGGTATCTGAAAAAGGTATCTGGAAAAGGTATCTCCAGACAGCCTTGTACTAAAGGTTTGCAGCAGATGCAGTGACCTGCTGTCCTTCAGCCTGAGCCATCTGTCATTCACTGAAAGTGTTCCCTGCTCCACAACCCCCTTTGAAAGGGACCTTGCGAGACTGTGTCCATTTTCAGCACTGCTTCCTTACTTGGTAGATACTCTGGGACTTCGCAAATTTTCACGAGTCCCAATATGCTCCCCATGTAGCTCCTGGTATTGAAGGCTACTTGGTAATTACATTATCCTGTGTAAGTGTAAACAGTATTCTGAGTTAAACTATCTTGGCTTAGAAACACGTTTAGTTAAATTAGCATGATCCACTTTGTCTAGCACTTTTTTCAATTTATATATGTTATATTTTGGTTGCTCTCAATTTCTCACATACTGATTTTAATAAACATCATGTTTCCTTGCAGGCAGTGCCTCTGCAGCACAAGTTCTCCCAGTATGGAGTACAGCTTTGGGTATTGTGCACTCTCCTTGTAAGGCAGATAGCCTTTGCTCTACTCTTTGTATGTTATGCCTCTTAATGACTAATGTCATATGTTATGTCTCTTAATGTGATTAGATGAGAAGATTTGGGCCCAGGTATCAGGCCAGAGCAGTGTAGTGACTCACTTTATGATCTAAGCATTGCTGAATTACATCACTTTCTCCACCTATAAGATATGGATGAGATCTGGAAAACATTTTATTTCTGTGGCTGAATGAAGAGTTTATAGATGCACAGCACTGTAGAACAGTTAAACATGGCATGTTCATTAAAATGTGATCATTATGTGATATTCTTTTAGTAGCTAAAATGTCCTGTTTTCACTTCTGATTTTCAGTAGAGAATGCCAGCCAATAAAAGAAAAGTAAGGCATTTCAGATAATTTGGGAGAAAAGTATTACAGCAAAATTGACTATCATAGTCTTCCTTACTTCTTGATAAATTTTGAGGTCAGACTCCTCATGACACCAGGTGATGATGAGTCTGACATACAGGCCCTTTTCTACAAAACTTACTTGTTAAAATGAAGGCAGCCTTCATGCTGGCCTTTGGAATAAAGGCAGCAACTCATGAAAGAATAATTGCCATGATTACTTATGACTGCAGCAGAAAGACTTTTTTCCCTTTTTTTTTTTTACTAAGCTTTTTTCCAGTTTCTGTAAGTTTCTTTTGTTCTTTTGTTTTGTTCCTTAATAATTTAGGTACCTAACTTGAAAGATTTTATGACAAAAGAACAAATGAAGACTGCTTAAAACTCTAGCCTTTTCCCTTAATTTTATTTATGGTACCCATTACACAGAACCGTAGAAATGTAGAGCTGAAATGAACCTGTATCATTTACTCCTCTTTATGCTCCTTGGCAGCATCAATTACATCTACAGCAGTTGTTTGTTCAATTTATGCTTACAGACCTCTGCTACTAGAGAATCCACAATTTTCACTGGCAATTTATAACAGGTCTAGGCCTTCTTGACTGCTACAAAGTACTTCCCTGTGATTTACTGGGACCGTGACAGGAGTGGATGAAGCCCATTACTTTATTACTTATATGCCTTAGAGGTAGAAAGCAGATTATCCACCTTTTTTCCTTTTGAGTACTATTGAAGACCAGAGGACCTTAGTTTGCTTAATCTTTTCTAGACCTGTGGTCATTCTTGTTGCTCTCCTCCAGGCAAGTGTCAACTTGCACTAATGTGTTGAAAACGCAAAATGCATTTCAGTTGTGGCCTGACAAATTTTATATATAATGCATTCATAAATCTATTTGCCATTTTTTTGAACACATATCACTCCTGTTTGCCTTTTGATCCACTGTAATTTTCAAGTCCTTTCTCTTTTGTTCCCTCTGTCCTTGACAGTACAAAAAGGACATTGAATTTTACTGAAGTTATTTTATTTCTAATCTTACTCTCCAGCTTTCCCCAATTTTATGGTGTCTAAAATTTTCTATAAGTGTACCTTCTATTCCATCATCTGAGGTTGTCAAAAAGACACTAAAAAAGCAGACCAGAGAAGATATTTCCTGAACTTCCCTTTTGATCTTAAGACACACTGATAAACATTCCCTCAGTACAGACAACCAGTCTTCATCCAGCTTAAAATCACATCATCTTCATCACATTTCTCTAA